TCACTGTCTTTCATCTCCTCAAGCATTTCAAAATGGACAGTTTGCAAAGAGTTCAGACTCCTAATAAGCAGGCCAAACTCTTTTCAAAGTCTTCCTGTTTCTATTTTTGCCTGAAATGTAGTGAAGTGTGTTCCTGCTCTGTAAGCAGGAAAAAAATGTAACATATGGGCAGGGACTGTGTGGCCTACATGGAGACCTGTAGGTTAAAAAGAAAAAAAATAGAACTGCCTAGCATCTACAAGTTGATTGTCAGCAATCTACTGAACTTCTGAAGTCCTGATAGCAAATTCAAATCAAAACATTGGCCAGAACTAAGATTTAATGTCAGATTCTCCTAAATTGACAGTGTTCTATGGGAGATCTCTCAGAATAAAGTGAGACAGCCCCACATGGAGGAACAGCAAGAAGCACCACTTGTGTGCCACTCCAACCTGCCACATACTACAGGTGAGGGCCAACATGTGGCTTGGCAGAAAAAAATGGGCAGGAAGCAGACATTGGACCATGGGGATGTTGTATGTGTGGGTTAGGGTGCAGGACATGGTTATCTACTGAAGACAGACATTATGGCCTGATTAAAAGCAGGGAAGAAAACAAAAACAAAAACACTGCAGCTGCTCTAACACATAGTTTCACTGTCTAGATTCTAGATTTTAGAAAAATCAAAAAGCAACTTTCTAACCCTTGGAATTTTAGGTTTGCCTTTTCATTGGGAAGGGACAAATTACAGCCTCCCGTCTTTGCTTGGCAAACAGCTGCCTGTAAACCAAGCCTCCCTCCTCTCCTGAAGTAATTCAATAGTTTGTCCCCTTTCTCTTACATCCTTATACATACTGGAACCATCTAAAGAATAAGTATTATGACATGAGATGGACTTGTGGTTTCTAAGACATGGAAGTTCCTTACAGGATACCTTTCAATATCAGCTGTTACTGATATACAATTGAACATAAAGTTGCATCCTTAACTTTTGTTGCCTTTAATTTACCATTTGTGTCCTGATACCATGATAATCTGTATACCTGATATCTAAAACAGAAATACATTTTTAGCTCCTAAAAGTGTTGTCCTCTGGTAGATCAAACTGCAACTAAGTAGACACTTCCTTCCACATGCAGAGTCCAATTATTTAGCAGTACCATGAGAGAAGGGGGACTTCTTCAATTTTTTAAGAAAAGTAGTACAAAAAAGTAATGCAGTCACTAAAGTGTAAAAATAGCATGTTTTCGGCAGGCAGTTTAGTGGGTCTACCTGGGAAGCCGTTGTTTTATTTAAGTACCATAGTTTTTAAATGACTCTAAATGTTGATGTGTTTAGAAATCATTTTATATGGTTGCAAGCACTAATATGTTTACAAGCTAATATAATTTTTAAAATTAATAAATACAGACATATTATAAGCAAATGAGTAGTGTAATAGATTGTTTTTAAGCATATACTGCAAACTCGAGAAAGTAAAGCTAAAATACATATTGTTTTACTGCTATGATTCCACCCAGAAGACACATGGCAGATAACTGACATCAAGTTTCTATTAATTTGTGAAAAGGCTAAAACAGATTTAGATACATTTTGTGCTCCAACATTATGCTAATGTAACAAATAAGTACAATTTCCTTTTTTCAAGATATGTGTATCCTAATTATTTTCTTTTATTGTGTATTGCCTTCATTTATTAAATGGGGTGAAATACTAGGAAGCAAATGAAATTTCGGGTGGTTTGCTTAATACAAATGCTAGGAAACTGGCCATTTCTGTCACTTACATGATCTATAGGTCTCAACATCAATGTTCCATATTTCTAAAATAATTTCACTTTAACTTGTTTATTGACATTTAAATTGTTCCAAAGGCACATACCATGAGAAAACTCTTTAGCTGATAACTCAATAACACAACACACCACATAGGAGCCTGAAGCTCTGTTTTGGATTAGAAAATTCGATTTCAGAATCATAGTTTCGATTTGCAGTGAGAAAGGATAACTCAGCCTGCAAGACTGCTCAGCTCAGCAGGGTTGGAACTATGGAAGAAGTGACTGGCTTTCTTAGTAAAATATCAGAATCTTTCCTCGTTCAAGACTTCAACTATTCAAGAAACAAGTATCATTTTTATCCATAGGATAGAAGTCATCATTCATAAGAAACCAAGTAAAAACATTAAGAGAATAAACAAATGACAATACATCTAAGTGGTAGAATCATTTCTGGCAAGTAAGAAAGAATAGCAAACATTTATTTTCTGCAGAGTTTTTCAATAAATGAAATGATTGATTTTTTTCTCCTCGATTTTTAATTTGAAAAACTACCAAACCTCTAGGCATATTAGTAGAACATACAAAGAATACCAAATACCTTGGGGCAACCATTTTAAATATTTTACTTCATCGCCCCCTTCCTATCTCCTCTTTAAGAGAGTGATATCGAAGGAGAGAAATGGGAAGGGAAAAAGAGAGATAGCTTTTTCTGTTGACATATTTGAAACATCCCTGAAATGCACATAACTAAAAACACCCCATTGTAAAACCATCACTTAATCATATACCCCAAGAAATTTATTATCTGATTTCCTCAATGCTTTGTGATTTGTTTTTAAATTCAGGATCCAATCAAGAATTATACAATGTATAGAATTATATATTTAAGAGAGTCTTTTAGACTATTTTAATCTGAAGTAAGTTTTCACCTCGATAAAATAAGAATATGCATTCTAAAAATTAGCCTTGAGGGTCATCAATTAATACTGGCAGCAGGTAATTATAAAAGCAACTTTTAAGACATGTTCTCATTCCTAGCCAAAAATATATTTCATCATATCACCTGAAACATTCTTCCCAACTCAATTAATCTCATGTGATGTGAAGCAAATAAATAAATAAATAAATAAATAAATAAGAACAACATATTTGAAACTAAGAGCTCAAGGCAATAGATCACATACATCAAGTTTTGCACTTAAAAGCCATCCCCAAAATAAACTGGTGGTCAGGCTCCTGTGTGTAGTTCATGGTTAATAGTAAAACTATTGGAACAGAAGAGGCAGCCAAGCATGTAATATTTGTTCTGATTGGCTCCTCATTACTCAAATCCTCTGCCTTTCTTTCTCCCTGAAGGTCATCTATGTAACAATTTGAATACATTCCAGTAGAGTTTCTGGAGTTATATTAAATTTATATTCCTTTTCAGGTTATTTCTCTTCCTCTCAGTTGTCATATTTTTTTTAAAAAAAAAGGTGTCTATTTATTGAAAATTAACTCATTTCTTGCAAGAAAACCTTTACATCACTAAAAGTGTGCTGCTAAAGCTCTATCCAACCCTCACAGTGTATCTCACAGATTTAGTGTTTCACATTCAGAAGTGTACGTTAACACGTAGATCTCAACTCTGTATGATAAAATGATGATTCATATAATAACATTCATGAATAAACATCTCAACATTTCTTTGTAACTATACATATGCACATTCC